CGACGCGGGCTCTCTCCGGGTCCCCGGAGCATCCTCAGCCCCTCCCGCCAGGCCCTCCGGCCCGCAGCCGTGGGGGCGGGGCTGCGGGCCGGGCTGGGAGCCGCAGTGACCCCGGCTCCCGCAGGCGGGGAGTCTGAGCCGCCCGCGGCCCTGGCCTGGGTCTGCGGTCCCGCGCCCCACGGGGGGGTTCCGTCCGCGGAGGGAGACGGTCCGGGCTGTGGTCTCCCGCCTCCTCGCTCGGGCGGTTCAGTGTCTGCGGTGACCCAGCCACCCCAGGGCGGGTCCCTCTCCCAGGGGGGCGTCCCCTTGGGAAACGCGCCGCCCGCGCCGGCCTCCACCCGGCCAGCCCCGTGCGCAGGGGCCCGAGCTCGCTCCGCACCCCGGAGCGCGGCATCCTGTCCTCGCCGGTGCTCTCCCCGGACCCTGCCACCTGCCGGCCTCCCGCCTTCTCTTCTCCTGCGCTCTCTGCCCCACGCCGCCTCCCCCAAAGCCAAAGTCCTCCCAGGGCGTCCCCGGCCCTTCAGCCCAAGACCCCGACTTCTCACCTCACCGCGGCTCCTCTCAGCTCAGGAAGGTTGCACGTAGTTTCTAGAACCCACCCGGCTCTCTGGACCCACCCGGACCTGGACCCGTAGGAGCCTCTGCTGGAGGGCTGCCCTCCCTCCGGGACCATTCCGACCCCCCGCTTCCTGGGAGCCTCCGGACACCCCCTCTGCCCAGGGGCCTGTGCCGCCCAGGCTGGCCCTGGGACTCCGCGTGTCCTGCCTGCTTACATTTGTCACCTCCTTCCCCCAACTAAGTTGCTGGGCCGGCCACTGAGTTGGCCTCGCTAAATGTGGTTTAAAAGAGAAATGTGGCTGCACAGCAGTGTGAACTGTCTGCTTGAAAATGGTTAAGATGTCCTGTGATGTGGCCTTAGTCGGTTTGGCTCAGTGGCTAGCACTTTGCCCTGTGGGCCAAAGGGTCCGGGTTCGATTCCAGTCAAGGTTGGTTGCAGGCTTCTCCCTGGCCCGCATGCAGGAGGCAGCCAATCAATGTGTTTCTCTCACACCAATACCTCTCTCTCCCATTCTCCCCCCAAACCAATGGAAAAATACCCTCGGGTGAGGATTTAACAATAACAAAAAGATCTGTAGTGAGTGTGTTTTTAAACACGAAATTTTTAAAGAGAGAGAAAAACAGTCAAACTAGAGAGACAGCACTTGTCATCTACCAAATCACGAAATTCAAAGCATCGGTTAACACACGATGTCAGTGGGGCCGTGGGTAACCGAGCAGCGCCTGTGTGGAGGCCAGTCTGATGGTGGCACCAAAAGGATCCAGACACAGATTATTTGACCCAGAAATGCCACTTCTAGGATTTTGTCATATATATGCATGCTGGTCCCATGAGCAAAATAATAGAAATTGAAGGTTATTGGCAAAGGAGTTGGAACAACCTAAATGTCCATGAGTAGGGGCCCATTCAGTCCGTTATGACACAGTTTCACGCAATGAAATAGCATGCAGCCGGGAGGGTGGGGAGAAAAAAAAATAAATAAATAAAATAAAATAAAAATCAATAAAATTTTTTTTAAAAAAAAAATAGCATGCAGCCTTCAAAGAAAGAGGCCTTTTCTGTGCTTGTACGGAATCACCTTCCAGCCTCAGGTTAACTGGGAAAAGGTACAGGACAGCACGCGGGGAATGCTCCAGCTGAGCGGGTGTATGTGTTTGTTTATTTGTGCATAAATTACCTCTAGGAGGTACAGGAAAGGGGTAGCCATGGCACCCTCTGAGGCGGCAGCTGCGAGGCAGGGCAAGACCAGAATAGGAGTTATTTCCAACGTATATCCGTTATGCCTTTTGAGTTTTGCACCATGTGCATATGCTTCCTATTCAAATGCATTAAAAGAACATATTTCCAAGTAAAGGCAACCATTAGGCTTCCTCAGGGCTCTCTGGAAAGGAAAGGAGCCGGGCCGAGGGAGATGCCACCATCCGGGGCCAGAGCTGGTGGGCCCGGCCGGCGGCAGAGCTGGGCCTCAGAGCCCGGCATCCCGCCACCACCGCGTCTTCTCCAGGGCTCAGTGCAGGCCCCGCCGAGAGCCCGGTCGAAGGGCTGAGCCCTGATCTGTCAAGAGGTGGAAAGGCTTTTCATCTATCCATTAAGTGAATAACACTTATCGAATACCTACTGTTTACTGATGTGCTGTGACTATGGCCGGGATCAATCGTCTCTGGCTTCACAGCCTTGGAGAGAGGCAGACAGCACACAGACCAGGCCTGAGACCGGGGCAGTGACGGGACAATCACGCGGTGTGGGAGCTCAGTGCACGTCCCCGGGGAAGTGTTGTCCCAGCCCCGGCCTGGAAGATGAGAATGAGGTCGCCCAGGCGTGAAGCAAGAGTGCCCAGGCAGAGGCTCATGCCAAGGCTGCAGGGTGCCCAGGAAGGGGAGCCTGGAAAGATCCGAAGAGGGTGGGTGGACAGGGCTGGGCACGTCTCCAAGGCCAGGGGAGTTCAGAATCCACACGGGAGCCACGGGAGCCACAGAAGCCACGGGAGGGCTCTCAGTGGAGGATGTGTGTTCCCTGTTGTTCTCCGGGGGAAGAGTGAACAGGGGGAAGAGTGAACAGAGGGAGGTCACCAGCGCAGAGGCTGTAGCCTGAGCTGGGAGAGACGTGGGGTTGGCTTCAATGAGGGGGCGGGACTTCCCGGGGGAGGAAGTGGGTGGGTTTGAGGTTTAGGTTGGAAATCAAGCCAACAGGTCTTGATCAAGGGCTCGTCAGAAGAGAGGCGGGGAGGGATCTGAGATGACCCCTGGGCTTTTGTGCTGAGCAGAGTGTCTGGAGGAACCCTGGGACCCTGGCCGCCAAGGAGAGCAGCAGCAGGTTTGGGGTAGGAGAATCAATCGGAGGTGTTTGGGGACCCACAGGCGCATGAAGCAGGAAATCGGGCAGAGGAATCTGGAGCTCCGAGGAGAGGGCTGGGCTGGAAATATACATCTGTGAGTCACCAGCATATAGATGGTATTTAAAGCTGCGAGGCTGGATGAGATCACCTAGGGGACAGGGTATAGATAGCAAGGAGAAGGTCCAAGACTGAGTGGGCTAGAGAACAAGGAGTCCCGCACATCAGTGAGCGTGGCCGGGGCGTGGAGGCAGGTTCCGGATGCTGAGCGGCAGGCAGGATGGATGAGAGAAGTAACCATTAGATGTGGCAAGTTCTGAGGTCACTGGTGGAATTGGTGAAAGTGGTTTCGGTGGAGTGGTGGGGCAAAGAAAGGCTGGAAGGCGTTGACAAATCCATCCAACGTGAAGGAGTAGAGACGGCGAGGAGAGCCAGCCCCTCAGGTGCTCTCTGTGCTCCAATCTGCATCCCTGAGTTCTCTCCCCTGCGCGCCCTGAAGGCAGACAGGGGGCCTGCCATGTCACCTAAGCCACAATGGAGCCCAGCAGCACACTGGGAGGAGCTCGATGCCTGTATTTAATCGCTGGATGAGTGAACGAATGGATAATTCACTGCTTGAGTCGAAAGGGCCTTTTCGGGGAGAGAGGGCAGCTGTGTCTTTTGAGGCAATTGAGGAAACTGCAAAATCCAGTCCAAAAGCTGAGGGCTCTGAGCCCCTTTCCTCCCCGCTAAACCCCCGGAGCAGCTGCACATGGGCCCAGCGCCAGGAACCAGGTTGAGTCCCTGCTGCCCCTTACGTGCCTGAGACTGGGTCACTCTCTGTCTTAGAAGAGATAAGTGTAGGGAGAAGAGGCCCACCTGAGCCGGCCCTACAGGAGGCCCCCAAGGTGTTAGTTTCCCTCCTCTGTCCCCCTTTCCTCTCTGGGCTTTTTATTATTATTATTATTATATTTAGGAAGCAGGACATGGCAAGTGCCTCCTCGTGCTGCGGTGAGGAGAATGAGTGGGCAGTCCACGAGAGCAGGAGGGTTGTGGGTGGGGACCCAGTGCAGAAGGGAGCGGGCCTCACACATGAGCAGGCGTCTGTGTGAGAAAACCAAGGAGACGCTGACGTGTCCTTGGGCTTGGGTAGGGCGGGACATATCTGTGACAGACAGTCCCCACCTGCCAATCAGAGGGGAGCTAACTCTTTGAAGCAGACTAGGGCCTGGCAGAGTGAAGGTGGCTGCTGGGAAGTAACGAATAAAAGAAGGTTGGGGACAAGAGAGGGGAAATGGGATGGCCCTTGAGGGAGACCACACAGAGAGGGGAGCCTCCAAAAGCTCTGTGCATGACTAGAGCTGCCTCGGGGAGATGGTCCCATGCCTGTCATTCCCCCTGCAGTGCCTTCTCCTGAAGCATCTGAGGCAACTTTGTGGGCAGCGGGCGGTGAGGGCCTGGAGCTGGGAGGTGTGTCTCCCAGGAGCAGAGGGAAAGCTGGCGGGCAGGCGCGGTCAATGCTGCCACCTAGTGGGGATCTCCTGTGACTTCTCCCGGCTCCCGGGCTGAGCGCTCAGTGACAGGGTTTGGATGGGGGACATGCCTGGGCTTCTGAATCTGGGGATGTGAAGCCAGGGGGAGCCTCGGGGAGGAAGATGCACCCCCTGGGAAGTGTGTGCTGCCCACATCACTTTTCCCACCTGTGCCTGGCCCCCTCCTCTGTGCAGTGGAGACGGTAGTGCCTCCTTCGCAGGGTTGTGAGGGTTAGAGGCGTCCACCTGCGGGGAGTGCTTGGCGGGGGAATACATGCTCAGTGAGTGGTGGCTGATCCGAGGGGAGCTGACCGTGGGTAGCCCTGCCCGTTCTTCACAGAAAAACCTGCTCCTTCTCTACCAACACTGGCCCCGTAGCCCCACCAAGCCCTCCCGTTTCCACATTCTGGGGCTGCCACTGCTCACCCCAAGGGATGAGGGCTCTTTGGGTTCCGACCTCCCCCTTGCTGACTCCAATGTGGCTGGGGAAGGGTTCCAGCCCCAGCACTTTCTCTCCCCCTCACCCCAGAGTGTGTGGTCATAGGGCTCCGGCTGTGACATCACAGAGCCGCAGCCCGGGCACAGGAGCGGAGAGGCCATGAGGCTTTGGCAGTGGGCGAGGGTGTGGGTGTGGCTGGCTGGGCTGGGGGCCATTGAAACAGGTGGGGAGCGGTGCTAGGGGCCTTGGGAAGGAGGAAAGCTTGGGGGGAGGGATCCATGTCCCCCTCGGGGCTGGGAGGCCAGGCCTCGGCCTTTCTCTCTGCTCCACACTTCTCTCCCCTCCACCCCTCCAGTGTGGGCCTCCTTGTGGGGAGCTCAGCTGATCTCTGAGAAGTTCCCGGGACAAAACCCGTGTGGCCTGGCGGGCCCGGGTCTGCCTCGGCCGCGTGGGGAGGGGAGGCGGGGTCTGCTCGCTGGTCACAGCCGCTGCCGTGCCCGCAGCACCCGGCCGGGACGGCGCCGAGGCCTGGGCGCGGGGGGCAGAGGCTCGGCTCTTCCTAGACAGGCCCGACTTCTTCGACTACCCGGACTCCGACCGAGCCCGGCAGCTGGCCGTGGCCCGCTTCATCGGGGAGAAGCCCGTGGTCTTCGATCGGCCAGGTAGGAGCAGCCTGAGGGGGGCGCCGGTCTGAGCCTGGGCTGGCCGCCGAGAGGAGCACGGCCCTCCCCGCCTCGTCCGCAGGGTCCACCCCCAAGCTCTTCCACCACATCCTGGTGGGCATCCTGACCGCCGCTGCCTTCTTCCTCCTCTTCAAGCTCTGCACACACATGTAAGGCTGCCCCCGCCCCCCCCCCCCCCCCCCCCCGTGGGCGGCCTCCCGCCTCTGACTCCATCCTCCCAGGAGCTGCCAGAAAGGGGCCTGAAGAGCCAGCCGCCCGACGCAGGGCTGAGCCGCAGACCGCCGCCTCCCCCGCTGAGGAATAAACGCTCTGCTTTTTTCTCCTCCGACTGCTCGGTGGGTGACCAGCCGGGCGGCCCTGTCCCGGGGTCATTCCCGCTCTCCGCCCCCGCCCCCCCCTTCACCCCCGACTCAAAAACGGGGCCGGAGGCCGGCGGCGTTCGCGCAGATCGTCTTTATTAGCGGTCTGGAAGCACCTCCCAGGGTCCCACCCCAGACTGGAGGAAGCCTTGAGGGGTCTGTAGCACCAGGGACATGCCAGGGCCTGAGGGCAGGTGTGCAGCCTAAGGGGGGAGGGACCCCCGCACCTGCCCGGGGTGCTCAGCGCGGGGAAGGCTGGGGGAGAGCAGCCGCCGCCCCCAGCAGCCTAGTTAGAATTTGGGTGAATAAATAAGATCCCTCAGCCTGGCCTGTCTCCCTGGAGAGGAGCTGGGGCCCAGCCCCGAGCAGGGAGCTGGGGGGAGCTGCAGCTGGGTTGGGGTGGCCCTGGCACCCCACATTCTGGTTCCTGGTCCCCTTGAGTCTCCATCAACCTCCCCACCAACCTCAAGCCTTAAAGGGAGGGGAAGCGGTGCCCCTGCCTCTGCCCTCGCTCCTCAGGGCCCAGGGCTGTGGTCCCTGAGCCCTGCCGGCCTGCACGCACCCTGCGGAGTCCATCGTCAGTCCGGGCTGCCGGGCTCCGGGCTCCACACCCCCCGCAGCAGCCCCGGAGCCTCGTCCCCGGGGGTGATGGGGTGGGGCTGGCGAAGGGCGGGCGGGGTCCCCTGGCCCCCTCAGTCCCGGGCCGGCGGGGGCGAGGGCGCCGGGGAGCGGCGGGGCCGGAAGAGGCGGAAGGCGCCGCGGCAGATGAGGAAGAACCAGTAGAGCTGCGGCGCGAGCAGCAGCGCGGCGCCCAGGTTGACGTGCGCGGGGAGCGCGCGGGGCACGGCGAGCAGCGGCAGGCCGGCGTGGCGCCCGTAGGCCCAGTACAGGTAGGGGAAGAGCAGCACCCGGCAGCACAGGAAGCTGAGCAGCATCAGGGCGCCGTTCACCTTGTGCAGCAGCGTGTGCTGCTGCTTGTACTGCGGGCGGCGAAGGGGGGCGCTGGGTGAGGCGGGCTGGCTCCGTCCCGCCCCGCCCCGCCCCCTCTGTCCGGGCCCCGCCCCCGACCAGCCCTGCCCCGCCCCTCTGCTCTCCAGGCCCCCGCCCCTCTGCTCTCCAGGCCCCGCCCCGGCCAGCCCTGCCCCGCCCCTCTGCCCTCCAGGCCCCGCCCCGGTAACCCAGGCCCCGCCCCTCTGCCCTCCTAGTCCCGCCCCAGTAAGCCAGGCCCCGCCCCTCTGTCCTGGCCCCGCCCCGGCCAGCCGGCCCCGCCCCCGCCCTCTCCTCTCCCGCAGCTCTAGGCTCCCAGACCCGACACCGCGCCTGTCCTTTCACGACCCCCTGCAGGTTCCTGCAAACGCCCGCCCGCCCCGCGCCTCCCTGCGGGCCCCACTCCCTCAGGGCCCTCTCACCTGGATGAGGATCTTGCCGAGGCAGACGAAGGGCGTGCTGACCTCGGCCATCAGCAGGCAGCCCAGAAAGTAGTCCCCCTTGCCCTGACGCCACACCTGCGAGGGGAGGAAGGAAGCACGGCCACCTTCCAGATGCCTAATGCCCAGAGCCTGCACCCCCGTCACTGCACCCCCTCACCGCACCCCCCTCCCCGCACCCCTTTCCCGACCTACCTCACCGCACCCTCCTCCCCGCACCCCGCACCATTGTAGGGGAGACGGTGTGCGGTGTGTCACACCGGGGAAACTGAGGCTCAGACACCTGCAGCCGCAGCTGCTCCAGGCCCCACCGTGGGGCACAGCCCCCCAGGCCCTCCTGCTGCCCGGGGCCAGGTTGGTGCTCAAGACACCCGCCTGGCCCTCCCCCCCGGACCCCCGCCCCGGCCCTGCCCGCGCTGGAACCCTGACCAGGGCCGCAGGCTCCCCAGTGCGCACGCCCGGACAGGCCACTCACCACGGAGAGCGGGAAGCACACCAGCACCATGACGGCGTGGTGCAGCACCATGAGGAACTCCTTGTGCAGGTAGCCGCGCGCCACGGCCCACGTGCTGCCCGGGCCGCGGGCCTCGCCCTCGTCCCCTCCGTGCCCCTTGACCTGGTGCTTGTGCCAGTGGCAGAGGAACATGGCGTAGATGTCATAGATGAAGTAGGGCACTGCGAACTGTGTGTAGGCGGAGGAGAGCCAGTGTCTGTGGGCAGAGAGGAGGAGGTGTCGGGAGGAAAGGCCGGGGCTGACGCTGATGCCGGATGCAGCCTGTGAACCCGGCCCCCAGTGCTCTTCACACCCCCAGGCGGGCGTGGGCGCTCGGGCTGCCCATGGAACCAGGTCAGAGGGCGGAACCGGCTGGGAGTCACGCCGTCCCGGCTGGAAAGCAGCAGTGATGAGATTCAAACCCAGACAGACTTCAAAACGCATCAGTTTTTCATATCCATTCATTCATTCATTCATTCATTCATTCATTCATCTCTCTCTGCAATATGGTGGGAGAAGAAGGGCAAGAGGGAAACCAGAGGCAGAGAGAAAACCAGCTCAGCAGGATGTGGAAGGCATGGGCGGTGAGGGCACACGGGGCGAGAGCGATGGGAGAGACCATCTTGGCTGGCACTGCCTAGTTGTAATGTGCAGGCACCATCCTAATACTCTAAGCCTTTCCGTGCACAACTGGCTCACTCCCCCACAAAAGCCCTCTCAAAGCGGGTGTGGTATTCCCTCCATTTTACCAAGGGGAACAGATGGGCTAGGTGACCTGGCCGAGGAACAAACTTAAGTCTGGCCAAAACCAGTTTGGCTCAGTGGATATAGCATTGGCCGGTAGACTGAAAGGTCCCAGGTTCGATTCCCACCAAGGGCATGTACCTTGGCAGCTGATAGATGATTCTCTCTCATTGATGTTTCTAACTCTCTATCCTTCTCTCTTCCTCTCTGTAAAAAATCAATAAAATATATATATATATATATATATATATATATATATATATATTAAAAAATTTACATTAAAAAAATGTAAGTCTGGTTCCACAGGCCTCCCTCGCAGTCAGCTCTGGCCTGGAAGACTCGAAGCAGGCATGGCAGGCCAGCCCCCGGGTGCGGCCTGAGGTCTGTTGTCTCAGGGACAGCCGGGCACCGCAGAGAAAACGCTGAGCCAAAGGAGCCGAGAGCAGAGCCAGTCCTGTGCACTGAGAGTAAACAGAAATGAAAAGTGCATGATATGCAGCTCTGCGTTTTTCTGCTGGAGTCAGTGCACTGAGCCCTTTCTCGTAGGCCCGTGGTCGGCAAACTGTGGCGTGCAAGCCACATGCGGCTCTTTGGCCCCTTGCGTGTGGCTCTTCCACAAACACCACGGCCTGGGCCAGTCTATGTTGAAGAAGTGGTGTTAGAAGAAGTTTAAGTTTAAAAAATGTGACTCTCAGAAGAAATTTCCATCGTCGGGCGGTTGATATCTGGCTCTGTGGACTAACGAGCTTGGCGACCTCTGTTATAAGCCCTACAGTGCTGTGACGGCCGAGGCGGGTGGGAGGTCGGGGACCTGGCCTCGCTCAGTGGAGGGACAAAGCCGAGTCAGCCGAGAAAAGGCACCGAGCCGGGCTGAGACCAAACGTGAGGAGCTGCTGCAGGGGAGGGAGGGAGACCTGGAGGTAGACTCGGGGGGGGGGGGGTGTCGGTGAAGGTGGGCTCGAGCTGAATGTAAGCCCTGGGGAGCGAGTTCTGGGGGAGGCAGGTGATTTCAGGAAAAGAGAGGCTGAAACCCTTGCGGGAGCGTGACCAGGAGGAGAGAGAAGGAGCGGCTTAGTGACAGAGGACAGAACGTGGAAAGGCATCCAGAAGCTGAGAGAAGTTAGAGCCGGGACGGCCAGGAGCACAGGCTGACAGGGGACGGGACCACTGGCTTTTAGGGGATCTAAGACACACACACACACACACACACACACACACACACACACACACACACACACCCCGTCCCTGGGCAGCAGCGTGAAACTTCACACCCAGACCCAACCGCTAAGCAATCAGGTGCTGGAATAGGAACAGCTGTGGCCCCTAGATTAGCCCTGACCCCCCTCTTCTACCCGAGGATTAGAAGGGGAGGGAGAAGACTGGAGCCAGGCCGGAGGAGGGAAGCGGAAGGTGGCTCTGCTGGGAGGTAGGGGAGGAGATGTGTGAGGATCCAGGCTCATTTTTGGGCTTTGGGATGGAGAAGAGGGGGCGAGGGCCAGAAGCTCAGTCACCCGGGGGGGGGGGGTCTGAAGAAAGAGTTCCGTATCAGTGTCTGTGAGCCAGAATTGCGCTAGGCCCTGAACACACACAACTCAACTCCTCCCCGCTGCCTGTCTACGCAGGCATGTACCTCCATCCACAGATGAGGGAACTCATCTGCAGGGAAAGATGGGGCACCCCTAGCTTAGGCTCAACCAGACAGGTCCTTGGGGCTCAACAGCCACCACAGAAAGGAGGCAGGGCCCAAAGTGAAGCTGGGGCGTCGTCAGCACCCTTGCAGGCAACTCCAGCGCAGCCCGTGGGTCACCCAGAGCTGGCCCGTCAGCACCATGGACAGGGGCCCTCTCCTCCCCACTCTGGCCCCACCTCTCAGGCCTGGGCTTTGGCAAGCACCGGGCACTGCAGCAGCTGCCAGTGCCAAATTTTGACCTCTACACACACACACACACACACACACACACACACACACACACACACGCCACTAGTGGCCTTGTTTTTGTCATCTCTCCTCTCTCCCTCATGCATGAAGCTGGGGCTGGGTTCCTGGGCTCTGGGAGGAGGTGAGGGGTGAGCCCGGCATGAAGAATGAGGCAACCCAGTTATTGCTGATTGGAAACAGGGTCTGGAGGGTGGAGGGTGGAAGGAGGTAGGGGGGGAACCTATGATAGAGAGGCTGGGAAGCCCAGGGGCTGCTTCCAGAATCCCGTTTGATCCCGGTTCCTTCTCCGGCTGGTTCTGACCTTTAAGGACAGGACGTGGATAAATTTATCCCTGGGTGTTGAGTTGCAGCTGTTGCAGTTAACTTGCTCAGGCCCAGCGAAGGGCTTGGGGACCACTGAAGGAGTCCCCTAGCAGATCTTAGGGGTCACACACCCCCCCGCAAGATGCTGGAACTCGGGCAAAGGGGTCTCGGGCACTCACTGGTCGTCAATGATGTGCTTGCAGGAGGTGGACACGATGTAGCCGGCGGTGGAGGCCATGACAGCCTGGACAGAGGACACCAGCCTGCGGAGGGAGAGGCAGCGGTGATAGAGGGAGCGGACACACCCCTTGGCTTCTCCCCTTGGCTGTCCAGTGGCGATGCCTCGGACTTGGTTCCCTCTCAGGTCCCTCCTGCCCATCTCTTCCCAAAGCTGCCTGTCCCAGGCTCGGCGCCACCACCACAGCTCCTGCCTTTGCCCAGCGGCCACTCCTCAGTTCCTCCCATCCCTGGCTGCCAGCTTCCTCTGTGAGCACAGAGTCTATCTTCCTCCCAGGACTCAGGAGGGTCACCCTGGGGCGAGGCGATGCTGAGAATGTGTGGCTGACAACAATGGCCCTGGGGGGGGGGGGGGTGGACAGCACAGGATGGCAAGGGGAAGCCCTGGGCCTGCACTTGCACCACTCAGCTGCCCCGTCATCATACTGGTCATTAACTAGTCCCTCCATGACCCCTAATCCCCCTCACCCCCCCCCCCCCCGCACTTTCCTGCTGTAGCCTTAACTGCCGCCGTGCTCCCCTCCCCAACGCTGGCCCTTAGTCCAGACTGTATAGAGTTCTACCTTCCATTTGCCTGCCCCTTGTCCCCCCATGTGCTACACATGCCCGGAGCAACACACAGCTCTGAGGCCCCGGCCTCAGGGCCCGATCGCTTGTAGGATGTTCTAGTCACATGCTGATCCTGTTGGGGAGCCTGGGAGGGTGAGTGAGGAGAGGAAGAAAAGCAGGCTGAATGCGAGTAGACCAGATGGCCGGGTTTGGATGAGGTCTCCTGGGACAGAGTAAGGCAGTGAGGAGGGAGGGAAGCTGGGAGGTACCGCCCACAGACCCCTCCAGGAGCCCCCAGATCCCGCCAGGCCAGGGGTCCACGGAAGGACGGGCTCCATTCTTCCTCACGAAGCCCGAGGAGGGGAGGGGAGGGGGCGGGGGGTGCGGTTTACCTGGCGGAGACAATGACCGCGTCGGCCTCCTCCCAGCGCAGCTGGGGCAGCCGCTGCAGCGTGTTCTTGGAGAGAAGGAAGAGTCCAGGGAACACCACCCCCCCGGCCACCAGGGTCAGCATGGTGGCTCGGCCGCGGGCGGGCGGGCGGGCGGGCGGGGAGAGGAGCGGTGGGAAGGGACGGGAGACGGAGCTGCAGGGAGTTAGAGGTGGAGAGAAGACAAAAAGCCAGAGCGGGGAGCGAGGGAGAGGGGCACGAAGGGGCAGGGCAGGAAGGGATGGGGCAGGGAGGCAGGCCCCGCCGGAGGAAGGGAGTCGGGTTGGATGGGGAGAGGGGTGAGAGCGGGAGAGGGAGGATCCCAGAAGGGGAGCCGGAGGAAGCCAGCGGAGGAGGGAGGAGATGCGGGAGGACTTGGTGAGAGGACGGAGAGGGAGAGGTAGTGGAGGAGCAGGAAGATGCGGGTGGGGGAGGGGAGGGAGAGCCGAGGCAGGTGGGAGGGGGGCTTACGTGGAGAGGCTGGGAGGCCCGAGGAGGCGGGGTGGGGGTGAGGGGTGGGACCGTGGGGCCAGCCCTGAGAGGCAGGGAGGGAGGGGGGAGGGGAGAGAGAGAGAGGAGCGGCAGCGGGGCAAGTGGTCAGCGGTCAGCACTGCTCTCCCGCCTCTCGCCGCCGCCACAGGCCCCCGCTGCCCCGCACTGACGCTGCGTGGGGCATCACAGAATGCCCATGCCCAGCCCCCTGCCCCCTCGGCGGGAGGGGGAGGGGGAGGGTAAGTCACCAGCTGGGGGCGGGCGGGGGAGGGGTGGGGAGATGATGGCACCGACCAGACACCAAGAAACCGGACCTGCAGTGGCGTCTCCCCATGCAGCTCTGAGCCACAGCCGCGGCTGCGACAGCGAAGGGGGGAGCGGAGACCGAGGGAGGGGGAAGCCCTTAAAGAGACAGCGGCTGCGGGCAGGGCCAGGGGAGGGGAGGCCCCCTCTTGGGGGGAAAGGTGGCCCAGGTTCCTCGGCCAGCGGGGCTGGGGGCTCTGAGCCCCCTGATGGGCCTGCCCGTGGTTCCCACCAGCATTTTGCAGATGCCACCCAGCGTGTTTCTCAGTGGCTGTTGGGGGCCCAGCTTAGGGGGCCCCCCGGGAGGGGATAGAGGATGCCCTGGGGAGGAGCAGGAGAAAGCGGGGTCTTGCTGTTTCAAGGAACAGATAGAAATAAAAACACTTCAACACAGCCCCTGGGCCGCCAGTGATCGTCCCGGAGACACACAGGAGAGAGGCAGGAACCTTTCCTACGAGGTTCCAGAGGGAGGAGAAATGCTGCCTCAGGAAACCCACCTGGAGCCCTAGGATGCTCCGCCCCCCCCCCCCCCAGCCCCCTAGTCACCGGTCGCTCTTTCTCTCTAGGTTATTGTGCCTCTCCCTCCGCGGCTGCACAGGACAGCCAAGCTCCCGGGTCGGAAAGACCTGGGATCGGCTGATGGAAGCCCCTCATTCAGCTGTAAGGAGCCCGGAGCCTCGTGACTTGGCCAAGGTCAGGCCGCAGGTCAGGAGCCCAGACAGAACCGACTGCTGCCTGCCTTCCCATCAGGCACCCAGCAGTCCTGTGGACTTCTGCATGACCTGGGACCTGCACCCAAACCCCTGGTCTCCACCTGCCCTGTAAGGTGCCCCTCACTAAGATCCCCTACGTTTGCCTTGGCCTGTCCAAACCCCTTCCACCCCGCCCTCCCACCCGAGTCCAAGAGCTGGGACTTGCTATTGCACGCTGCCCCCTAGTGGCGAGCTGCGGGAACAGACCCTCAGAGGTGTCTGGCCTTGGCAGGAGCCAGGGACAATTTTAAAAACAACAGTGGTCGCAGCTTCCTGACCTCAGCGCTTCCCGTAAGCGGACTCAACTTGGAGAAGGTTTACTGTGGGCTCAGCACCCGGCAGTGATTTACAGCATTCTCACGCCATCTTCCCGGATGGTAGTGCCCTTGTTTTACAGACAAGAAACTGGGTTTAGAGATTAAAAAAGAAGAAGAAGAAAACTTGCCCAAGACAAAACAGAATTGGCAAAACTGGCCGAAACCGGTTTGGCTCAATGGATAGAGCGTCGGCTTGGGGACTGAAAGGTCCCGGGTTCGATTCCGGTCAAGGGCATGTACCTTGGTTGCGGGCACATCCCCAGTAGGGGGTGTGCAAGAGGCAGCTGATCGATGACTCTCTCTCATCGATGTTTCTAACTCTCTATCTCTCTCCCTTCCTCTCTGTACAAAATCAATAAAATATATTTAAACTCTAAGTTTCTATCCATCCTTCATATGTCCGCTGAATCATCATTAAAAAAAAGAATTGGCAAAACTGGATTTCAAACCTACGCTTACACAACTCCGAAGGGGAAGAATGGCACAGCTACACACAGGTGCAGAGCTGGGGGCGGTGGGCAGTGGCGAGCAGCCGTTGATGGGGGTAACGTAGGCAGTGACCGTTTTCTGTCTTCCAGGAACTCACTAGACGCCCAGGCAGATTCCGCCCTGCTGCCCCCTCTCCCTCCGACCTCAGGTTGGATGGCAGCTCGAGTGTATATTACACTTTGTCAAACAGGCCACAAGTTCACAGCACGAGGGCCCAGCCTGGCCTGCAGACGTGCTTTGCTTGGCCAGTATGGCATTGCCGACACAGTAATTCCTGAAGTTCTAAGTTATTTGTCAGTGTTTGGAAATTAGGAGAGTTCACCTAAACATGCAACTTCTTTTAAGAAAGAATCAGAAGAAAAAAAAAGGAAAAAAAAAGAATCAGGAGGTCGGACAACGTTGGGCCCACATTTTAACACCATCATGTTTGGCTGGAGCCCACAGCCGTGGCCCAAGCCCTCGTCCTCCCTCCAATCAGGAAGTCCCAGCGAAAGTCCCTTCTGTTACTTGCAGGAGACTGTAACCTCTGCTTCACCCACATGATTCATCTGACCCTCCATGTCTCCGTGAAGAATGGAAGGTGGATTTTTTTTAAACATGTTTTTATTGATTTCAGAGAGGAAGGGAGAGGGGGAGAGAGAGAGAGAGAAGCATCAGTGATGAGAGGGAATACTCTATTGGTTATCTCCTGCACACCTCCGATTGGGGATCAAGTCCAGGACCCTGGCACGTGCCCTGTCAGGGAATCGAACCTGTGACCTCCTGGTTCATAGGTCAGTGCTCACCAGAAGGTAGGTATTCTTATTAAACCTGTTTACAAACGAGAACTCTTACTTGGATGCCACCAAAACGGCCTCTGGTCTCGGCATGCGCAGGCTGGCGTGGCTCTGCAGGCCCCAGCAGAGGAGGGCGAAGGTCAGCGGGAAGAAGATGCAGCCCACCAGGAAGAGCAGGGGCATGCCTGTCTGCGGCGGAGGAGGCGAGAAGAGCTGCTCTGAGAATGCCGTCGCATCGCGTCCTCGGACCCAGAGCTCCCGTCACCCCAGGAGCTGCAACGGCCATGGAATCCCTGCATCGGTGACCATCGGAAGGAGCGGCACAGCTCTTTCCTAACCTCTGGGATCCACATTGTACTTTCTAAAAATATATATTTTATTGACTTTCCGCAGAGAGGAAGGGAGAGGGATAGAGTCAGAAACACCATCAGCTGCCTCCTGCAGACCCTCCACTGGGAATGTGCCCTCAGCCAAGGTACACGCCCTTGACTGGATCGAACCTGGGACCCTGAGTCCGCAGGCCGACGCTCTGTCCACTGAGCCAGACCGGTTTCGGCCCACATTGTTCTTTAAATGACCTCTCATTCAAGGCCACTGGACGTCCTATTTTTTGTTATCACCCCAATCCCCACAATGTCACTTTTCCTATAAACCCTGACGCTGATCAGTGCCTCCCCGTCCATCCACACCATAAAGTCTCTGCTTTCTCCTTCGACCCTGATGATGTGGGTCTCTCCCTCGGCTCCACCCAGGCCCTCCCAGCCGCTGCCCCTCCCTCCGAGCTCCTCTCCTAGGCCCTCCCCTCTGAGGGCCAGGAGGGAGCTGGGGAGGGAGGCGGTCTCTAGAACTCAACATAAAAGGGGGGTGTGTGTGTTCAAATTATAAAGGTATTAAAAATAATAGAAAAAAAAACCCAAAGCATTATATCACTAAACACAATAATCCTGAAAACATATATGTTTACATCTATGTGATTTTTGTCTGGAAAAGCTTCCTTTCCCACCCTCTCCGGGGAGAGGAAGAGTGGAGAAGCCCCAGAGGGGGTGCAAGCAGAGAGGGCTCCCCCCTTCTCATCCCAGGCCCCCACCCCGCCGCCTTTGAGGGGAGCTCCTCAGGATGCAAGGAACGTGTCAAACTGCAAAGGCCCGAGGGAGAGACCGCTCCGCTAGTGGAGTGGAGGGCGAGTGGAGGGTTTGGAATGTGCAGTCTGCACTCTGGCCCCCCTGATACCTGCGGGCGCCCTATGATGCTCCCTAGGGGAGGGGCCTGCTCTGCGGGAGGGGGAGGGGAGGGGAGCGCTTCTCTGGCAGAATTGGCAGCTGCATCTCAGGGGCGGAGCTGGAAGAGGAGAAAGGAAGAGTCAGGAGGGCAAAATAAGAACAGCGAAAGGAACAAACCAGAACCAGAGGCGGGGAGCTCAGAACAGACTGGCAGCAGTGGGGAGACGGGGGATGAAAGAAGGGGAAGGACATGTATGCACAGTCCATGTTCACAGACAGCAGAGTGGTGAGGCCAGAGGAGGGGAGGCTGGATGGATGGAGGGGGGGAGGGAGGGGGGACATCTATAACTATCAATAATTTTTTTTAAAACATATTTTATTGATTTTGTACAGAGAGGAAGGGAGAGGATAGAAAGCTAGAAACATCGATGAGAGAGAGAGAGGAGATCAGCTGCCTCCTGCACACCCCCAGCTGGGGATATGCCCGCAACCAAGGTACGTGCCCTTGACCGGAATCGAACCCGGGTCGATGCTCTATCCATTGAGCCAAACCGGTCTCGGCAATTTTTTTTTTTTTTTTTTTTTTTTTTTAAAGAATAGCTTAAGTAGTCGTTGCTTTACAGGACAGTACAGGGCGCTCTGGCTGGGTAGCTCAGTTGGTTAGAGCATCGACCAATTTGCCAAAGTTCCAGGTTCGATCCCAGAGTAAGAGACAAAAGAGGAACATTGTTTATTTA